AAGGGCATGGGGCCTTTGAAAGGCGCGGCTACGTGTCCTTGGTTAGTCCAAAGCTGCCAACACTGACACCTGCGGTTAACACATCTAAGAGGAGCATGGAACCCTGGGCTGTTCTCCTTGCACGTCGTAACCATCCGCAAGGGTCTTTATCGATCATTTTATTGCCGTCATTATCACTTTATAATCTTTACTGGAGTACAAGCGTGGCGGGCAAGTGTGTGTGTGTTGGTGTGGTGGTAATGGGCGCGTGTGGATGGCATGAGGTGGAGGCTGTGTGGACGACTAGAGGAAGAAGTGGGCGGTGTGGAAACAGAGAGGGGCGGGGAGGAGGCGGTGAGGAGTTAAATGAAGTGGAATGAGGAGGAGACGGTGTGTGGGCGGGGTCCTTCGTCAGGAAGTGTGAGCGAATCCCTGGCGCGAAAGGGGTGTGTGTGGGTTGTGGGCGTCGGCGAGGTGAGAGAGGGAGCCCCCGCGCCCGCACGCCCCCACAGCAGGCAGGGCGCATCAAAAGGGCCCTTCATCACGCGGGGTCGCGCACCTGAAGTTCCAGGTGCCTTTCCCTGCCTCATCAGCTAAGCCCTAAAGCCCACGCTATCACAACTTACAGTTCCAAGAGTAATGCTATACCGATTATTTATAAATTCTTACTGAAACACTACACGACTACCCACAATACATGCAGGTTGGCAGGCAGGGAACTAGGGGGCGGGGCGTGGTGAGAGGCGTGGGTGAGGGCGAGGGTGAGGGGGGGAGGGCGCGGCATGCAGGGTCAAGGAGTCAACTGGGCAACACTAATGAGGTCGGGTAGACGGAACACGTCCGGGTCGGGTCGGGTCGGGTCGGGTGGGCGGCGAGGGTCCAACTGGGCATGGGGCACACGGGCACTCGGGCGGGGCACGGCGGCGTCACTTACATCCTGGAGATGCTGCAGTTGTGGTTGTGCCATTACGCTGATATGGCCGTTCTTCAAGTGTTCGGGTGGGTGGCCCGGGGGATGGCCCGGCGGATGGCCCGGGGTCGAGATCTGCAAGTGGCCCGCATGGCACGGGTGGTGGCCCGCGGGCGTCATGACGGCGCCGTGGTGTGGGGGCCTGGGGAGGGCGCCGTGGAGACGGGACATGGGGCCAGGAGGGGGCTTAGGGGGCCGCCATGAAGGGGCCGGCCGGGGGGCCCCCCAGGTGGGGTGGGGGAACAAAGGGAACGGTACTTACATCGGGCGCTGAGGGCACTGCATAATTACCCTGGATAGTATAGGCCTGGCCGCCGGCAAGGATCACCGGACCCCCGGCCACCTGGGGTTTGGGGCGGTAAGGGATCGTGGCGCCTTTGGGAGGGGACTGAAACGGCACAACACATGGATTAGAGCTTGCACAGATGATCGACTACACCAGTAAGACAAACTATCAAATGCAAATCTACAATTATTGGACACAAAAATATCAACATCAGTGAAAATCATGATATCTGGATATTCAGAAACGCGATGTTCACCCGCGCGGTCCGCTGATGGCGCCGTGGCCCGCCTTACCTCTAGCATAACGCAGCAGATGTTGTAGATGCACTGCGTGATGGCCTCGGACGTGCCCGACACGGTGACTGCGCGCTCCGTGGAGTTGGGCAGCATCTCGGACGCGACCTGGATGGAGGCGCCGGTCACCTCGCGGATCTCCTTGATCTTGGAGCCGCCCTTGCCGATGAGCGAACCGCACTGCGAGGCGGGCACGATCAGCCGCAGGGTGATGGGGGGCCTCTGCTGTCCGCCGCCGCCTCCTGCGCTGCCGTTGTTCTGGTACATCTGACCAAGGAACTGTGGGGGGAACGACAACGGTTACAAGGGGCACTCAGCCGAGGATTCACAAATAACACTGGAATGATCAATTCTTGATAGATAGCCAGGATAAGAATAACTCTATGATGGTCCTAATGAGGGAAATAACAGCATTAATACTACACCATCCGAACACAATTGAAATACTAACAAAAATACAAATGCTATTTCTTGTTAAGTGACAATAATAACGTAATTAACAATGATAATGATATTAATGGTTACTACTATTAATAATAATAATAATAATAATAATAATAACAACAACAGCAACATCAATAATAAAACTAATAAGTTCTACGGCGATAATGATGAAACTACCATTTTACTAAATATAATTTTAATATGACATGCCAATAATAACATTAAACAATGATTATAAAAAATCAACAAGAACAATAAAATGAATAATTCTTCCACCAATCGCAGAGTTACCGCGATAATCAAGTATGAAGTTAATTACCAAAACAAGAAACACATGAGATAGGGATAAAATAGAGCGCGAGTATCATCCGCGAGTTGGCTCATCCACAACCTCGCCCTACGTCTCCCTTGTTGGCTCGGTGGAAAAAGGAAGCAAGCAGGCAAGCAGGTAGACAGGCAGGAGAGTAAACAAACACGTGCCCGAGCGAGAACGCCTCAGCTCCCTGCCCTCCAATGGCCGATTTACAGTTACAGGAAAAGCAAGTTCGTTTCCCTACTCCACTCAAAAGCCCGGGTGCGACCACCGGCACCTGGAGGACTCTGCCCCCCCCCCCCACATACAAATACAAACACATATATCTCTCTCTATCTCTCTCTCCCTCACCCTTTCTCTCTCAACCTCACCCTTTCTCTCTCTCTCTCCCTCTCTCCCAAGGGCTCGTGCACAAAGAACATTTTGGCCCGAGTCAACGCTGCCTTTCAAACACCCTGTCAGGTTGTATGATATTCATCACCGTTGGGTTTGTGTACAAGGGCTTCGTCCGGGCTCCTGCTCAAGGTTTTAATTAGGGAGCAAAAAGGCGGAAGGCTGGCGGGGCGGGCGGCCTCGGCGGCGGAGGTTGTGCAAGGACGGGAGTAGTCGCCGAGTCAAACGGATCACGAACACGGACAGCGTGCCATAAAAAAAGGAAGCAGCACGAGAACCGATAAGCCTTAAGCAGGAATGAGGCGCAAGGAGGGAGGGAACACGGGGAAAACTGTGCAGGTGAGCGGAAAGGCAAGAGAGAAGGGAGGGGCGAGGGGAGAAAAAGGGATGGAGAGGGGAGGAATACGGAGGAGAGGGGAAGAATACAGAGGAGAAGGAGAGGGAGAGGGAGAGGGAGGGGGGGGGGAGGGGGGAGGGGGAGGGGAGGTGGAGATGGAGAGGAGAGGGGAGGGGGGAAAGGTAAGGGGAAGGGGGCCAAGGAAGCGTGCTTTATCATCAATATCAGGAAGTAGCCTCCGCTGGTCGTGGTTCTCACACTCAGCACTATCGGAGAGCGCCGGCGGGAGGGCGACGCGGTGGCCATGGAAAGCTACCACATCGAGCCGCGCGTTTCCCTTGCTCGCCCACGCTCCCCCACGCCGCCCATGCCTCTCCAGCCACGGCAGCCTCCACGGCGCTGGCGAATTTCACATCGAAAACGCGCTTTGGAGGGGGTCTTTTCATTTTGGGAGCTGTGTAAAAATACATATGGAAGGGGGAGGGAGGGAGAGGGAGAGAGGGAGAGAGAGAGAGAGAGAGGAAGAGAGAGAGAGAGAGGGGGGAAGGGGGAGAGGAGAGAGAGAGAGAGGGGAGAGAGGGGGGGAGAGAGGAGAGAGAGAGAGAGAGAGAGAGAGAGAGAGAGAGGGGGAGAGAGAGAGAGGGGAGAGAGGAGAGAGAGAGAGAGAGAGAGAGAAGAGGAGAGGAGAGAGAGAGAGGAGAGAGAGAAGAGAGAGAGAGAGAGAGAGAGAGAGAGAGAGAGAGGAGAGAGAGAGAGAGAGAGAGAGGAGAGAGAGAGAGAGAGGAGAGAGAGGAGAGAGAGAGAGAGAGAGAGAGAAGAGAGAGAGAGAGAGAGAGAGAGAGAGAGAGAGAGAGAGAGAGAGAGAGAGAGAGAGAGAAGAGAGAGAGAGGGAGAGGGGGGGTATTGCGTTCGTGTATGTCTGGATGTTTGTGTCCACGTATATGTGCTTGTGTGTATGTTTATGTTTGTGTCTGTATGCATGAGTATGTTCGTGCTTGTAGGTGCGCGCGCGGCAATGAGTGGGTGACCGTGTGCGCGCGCATGTGAGTAAATAAGAGTGGCGGGGAGGGGGCAGAGCTGGTTTACCAGAGACTACTCTCAAAATTACGCTTCCTCTCGCTCTTTGGCGCTTGTTGTCTCGACCGATTTAAAATTCATGGGAGGGCGCTATCAGCCTCCCTCCAGCCTCTTTAAAGTTACCTGCCATCTCTTCACCGCTTACCCCCCCCTCCCGTCCCCCCTCGTGGCTGGCGATTCCCGGGTCGGCGGGGCGAGGTCACGGGGCGCGCGAGGAAGGCACCGCAGGAAAAAATCCTTTTTTATCCTTCAGTCTCATGCTGCTTCCTCAGGGGAAAGGGAAAGGGGGGGACGGAAGAGCGAGGGGCAGGGAGGGGAACACGGAGCGCAAGACAGAGCATCAAAAGTTAAGGACGATGTTTAGGTACGATAAATAAATGATGGCTTCGCTCTTGCCACTTTGCTGGCCGAAGCTTCGACCCACCAAGGTACGGCCATCGCCCTGCAACACCCAGGCAGGCGCTGGATGGCACTGGTTGCAGGGACGAGGCACTCGAGAGCACAAAACAAGCAAGTGCCGCTTCTACCTGCTCCCAAGGCACCCGTCGGACGCCGTGGCGTTGCAGCCTAGCTTTTCACTCCCTCCCATGTAAAAGCAGAGCGCAAATGGGCACGTGTGCGGCTCCACGTGTTCGAGCGGCCGCCCGACAAGTGAAGGAGACGACCACGTTGCGCGAGAAAGGGTCAGAAAACGCCCGATAATGCGATAGGCAAGACGAAGCCGTAAAGCGGAGTGAACCTGTGCTTGTGCTTCCATTGTTAACGACGAAGGGAGAGGGAAAGAGAAAAGAGAAGAGAAGAAAAGACAAAACAAGAAAAGGAGGCTACGAGGAGAGGAGAGGAGGCGAGAAGAAAGAAGAGAAGGAGGAGGAGAGGATGAAGAGAATGGAAGAACATGGAAAATGAGGAGCGGTAGGAGAATTAGTATGAGGAGGAGGTGGAAGAAGAGGATGGGAGGAGCAGCAGCAGGAGGAGGGAAAAAATACACCGAAGAAAGCACAAGCAGCCAGGAACCAGAAGGAAAGCGAGAGAGCAAAGTGAATAGAGAGAGGAGCAATGAGAGAGGAGAAGAAGTGAAGTAGGTAGAAGTAGGCACGGGCTTCCACTGTTTGCACTCTGTCCATTAATAATGAGTTACCCCCGCCCCCGCCCTCCCTTCGACTTCCACTGCTGCAAAGAGGAAAAGGAACTGGGGATGGAAGGGGAAACACGAGCAGGGGAGGGGAAGGAGTGAATGGCCATGCGTAACAATAAAGAGAAAATGATGAAAGGACCGGAGAGAGAGAGAGCTACAAACAAACCGGAAAAAGCCGAAGCGAATACGAGGAAAAGGACAAAAAAGTAGACGACGAACAAGAAAATGAAGAGGAAGAAGGCGGAGCGACAGGATGGGCGTTTCCGTGTGGGCGGGGCGTAGCAGTACCTCTCCCATCTCGCCCCCTCCCCCTTCCGGCACAGCCTCTTCGCTTTGCTTTCCTTGAACAATCTTGCCCTGTATTGTTTCCCCGGGCGCCGCTCGCCTGATTGCCTCAACTATATTTCTCAGTCAACTAAGGGCGTCAGAGCCGAGGTTCTCGCTGGAATAACGAATGCGCCTTTGCTCGCAGGTTATGAGGCCGGGAAAAAGAGCGCTCGCAAGCCCTCGCTACAGAGGCCCTCTTCTTAACCAAGGCTTTCATTAACGTATATGCTTGTCTAAACACCAGCCCGAGTGCGTCGCTGAATCACCCTTTGCCCAATTCCCCCTTTAATCAAATGGCTTACGTCGCTACGCACATGAAAACATCTAATAAAAACAAACTGCTCTGCATTACCCCATGGATCCTACCCCAGTCCCCTCCCAACCCCCTCCCTCCGGCCGCGTGACGGACGTGACGCGGGACTCGAGTGTGAAGGTGACACGACCTACAGCTACAAGCACCACCGGCGTGACGAGGCAACATCTATCGGAATCCGTGACGGCGCTGACTGTGCCTCGAGGGAGCGTTCGTGTGCCTCGCTCTCTCGGCCCCTTCGCTGTGCCTCCCACCCGACGGGCCTCGACTGGACCGCAGCGCCAATCGCGGGTCGACGCTGCCGCGATGGAAGGGAAAGCCAACTTGGGGAATCCTGGGACCATAACTTACCTCTTCGAACTTGGCACATATGAGTTTGAAGGCTGTGAAGATGGAATCAGTGTTGCCGGTGACGGTGACGATCCTCTCCGGGCACGAGCCATCGCTGATGTTGATCTTCGCGCCAGACTGAAAGACAACAAGCAGACGTAAGTTGTGTGCGCATGCGCTTCGTGGTGTGGGAAATGAAGGGTGAAATGGGACGGTGTTCCTGCAAAGTTTATCTAAATTCTACGTTGACACACACACTTACAGAATGCATCTCATCATTGGTAAAAGACACACAATTGAAGAAAAATGCAAAAAAAAAAAAAAAAAAAACTAAACACACACACACACACATCCTCTCTTTCTAAGAGCCACAGCGCGGCCACGCCACCTCAGCCGCCTGCCACCAGACACCACTCCAAACGACCGCAGATCTGAACAAAACCCGCCACTTAAGTGGAAAAGTAATCGCAGAGCGGGACAGCCATCACCTTAGCCCCAGCCAGCCCTTGCCAAGCGTCGCTGCCATGCAGCCAACAATGCGTTTCATCTGAAGTGTCCGCCGACCTCGATGGCCCCTCCTTACGGCTTAAGGTAGGGAAAGTCAGGCATTTCTTCGGTACTTGGTGGGTGTAACGATAAGACCAAGTGCAGAAAGCTAAGGAGCACCACAATAGTAAAGTATAAGCAAATAGACCCCTATTGGGGCAATACAATGACCGCGATTGGCCCTTGCCGCCGTCCCTGTGTGTGGATGTTGTTAATGTTGCTTGACGCCAAGTTAACACATGAGCTCCGGAAAAATCCCTGTTTTCCTACATCCAAAAGCCTAACTCCGGGTCAGCGCCTCATCTCGTCACGTTCCCTGACTTGTGCTGGCACTGGAAACGGTAGTGGCCGAAAGCTGGATGCAGATGTGTAGTACACCGCGGAACTGCGCGTCAGGTAGATTAACGAGAGCGTCTATCAACTAGCCGCACGACCGGGAAAGAGTTTACCTGTCGCTCACTTGTCCAGAACAGAGGTTTAATCCGGCTCCTGGCTAATAACATAAGCGGTACCCTAAGACACTCGCAGCGAGTCTTCGTAACTCTCAACATAGAGCGTAAAGTGACCCGATCGAGACCACTTCGACTCCTTTTAGGTTTTTGTGTGAGTGGGGTCTTGACGTTCTCGATCACTTATCAATCAGACTTCTTGACTTTGTTCAGACTCATTATACTATTCCCAAATGGCAGAGAGAATATAGTATCACTATGCGAGCAACGTTCCTGAAAGCAACGGCTATGTCCGATCACGCGCGGGACCCTGGCGTGTGCCCTGTGTCCCCTTATATATAATATTCGTCCGGAAGAAAGCGAAAATCGCGAGCCTACAACCAACAGAGAACGTTGCGTACTTTCTTTCAGCGATCCGTTAAGTATAGGTGATAATGAGGTTTTACGACCTCCGATCTCCGTTGAATCTTACATCCACCTATCGATCCCCACGTGACGATCGGGATGTCGTCCTTCTTGCCTTAGCAGCGTCTGCGGGCCGTTTGGGCGCGCCTGACAGTGAGTAGAGACAGTGCGGCAGGGACACAGTCGATAAGGCAAAGGCGATTGGAAAGGAGACGGACGTGTGACGGCAAGTGTGAAAATTATATGCCCTTGGAGCGCCAACAAGCAGGTACAGGAAGAACGATTATGGGGGAGAAGAGGAAAAGAGGATGAAGAAGAAAGATTAAAGGCGAGAGGAGCAGTCTAAAAGAAATAAATTTATTAATAGAGGGTGGTAGTGCCCCGCAGATCGATGGCTGCGAACCAGCGCAAGGCGAGTTCCCGCCACGGCATCAGATGGGAGGATTGAGAGTGTGGAGATGGCGATTAGGCGGACGAGATTCATCCTCATCCGTTCTCGTCGATTTGAGTAACTAGGTGGCTCCCTGATCGAATGAGAGAGATTTCGATACGGTAAAAAGGTTTTCCATGGGGCAGAAACAGGGTGACGCGATGTTCGAATTTAAAACGTGGCGAGTATGGATACATCCTCTCTATGAACTTAAAGAAAACACTCGACACTGATACTCGGCGCGCCAGCCACCTAGAGCAACCTGATGCCCGCGGGGACTCGTCCCTTCTCAATCATCTATGATGAGCACGGTATATAGAGTGTTGCACACGTGGAGAACGATCCTGGCTCGGTCGCGCAATGGCGGCTCCCACCGTTTAGTGAGCGCGCCTCAAAAGAAAAGGTGACCAGCGCATGACACCCCATGCGTCGGAACTTTTTCGCGCACATATCCCTTAGACGTATGAATGAACGTCAACAAGTACTCCTCTTTTGAGATCCCACTTCATCTTAGCTCTCCCACGGAATTCTGTGTACGAGCGCATCGGCCAGTGGCGTACCGGGGTTGACGTGAAGGGAATAGAGAAATCCTACTCGTCCATCGCGGTCTTGCGTGGCGGAAGGAAAACAAGAAAAAGGGAGAGAGGGGAGAGAGAGAGGAGAAGAGAGAAGGTCATGGACATTGCGAAGCCTCGAAGAGCTTATATCGACAACAGTATGGGACAGAAAGGAGAGGCGGTGGGAGCCAGCTTCATCCCAGGTGTCAAAGTCTGATAGCATGAGAGCGAACGAGAGGATTGTACCAACTCTTCGGATATAGAGTTCCAAAATGGTTATCACGGCCCCACGCCATATACAAAACGACGATTGGCGAGGAGATTCAACCCAGGAGTAATTATAACGCGCTACGAGGACCTTCGGTAATCCCAACCTCAGATCACCTGATAGTTTTAAAGGATAAACTGAGGAAGAAGCGAGAGATGCGAAGAGAGAGAGCTGCTTAGCCTCACACACAGAGAGATAAATAAAAAGAAATGAAAAAAGGAAAAAGAAAAAGAAAAAGAAAGAGAAGAAGAAGAGGAGAATGAGGAGAGAAGAAAAAAAAGCGTGCGCGAGAGAGAAAGACTAGAAAAAAAAGAAAGAGAGAGAGAAGAAAAAAAGAGAGGATAAGACACAAGCGAACAAGAAGAAAAGAAAAAAAAAGGAGAGAGAGAGAGCAAAAGAAAAGATGAGAGAGAGAAGAGAGAGAGAACGAGAGAGAGAGAAGAGAGAGCAGAGAGAGAGAGAGAGGGAGGGAGGGGGAGGTGCAGGGAGGGAGTGAGGGAGTGAGGGAGAAGAGGGAGAGAGGAGGAGGGAGGAGGGAGGGAGGGAAGGAGGGGAGGAGGGAGGAGGGAGAGAGAAGGAGGAGAGAGGGGGCGGCGGCCGTGTTGGATCCAGCGGCGCTAAAATATTTACAGGTGTGCAAGTGGCGGCGCCCGGAAAGGTTAGGCCGGCACCCGGCTCGGAGGCCTCGGCGCCTCCAAATCTTGAGCTGTCCTTCACCCTGGCGCCGCCGGGAGGATTTACACGAAGAGAAAGGAGTAAGGAGATCAGAAGGGAAAGAGCGAGAGGCAGAAAAGAAGCGACAGTTCGTGGGAGACCACAGCTGGATAACAAGAAAAGAGACAGAGTAAAAGCTAAGAAGCGGACACGAAAAGCCAGGAGGAAGAGAGGGAAAGAATGGTCAAGGCGGAGTAGACGTCCTGAAGGAGGAGTGACAAGCGGAGTGTCAGCTTAAATGAGAACATGCTGGGCGGGAGGGAGCTGGGTTGCCTCACGACATAGAAGGTGGAGCGAAGAAGAAGGAGAACAGAAGGGAAAGATAAAAACGGAATAAAGAGAAGAGGACACGGACAGCATCAGCTTAGCCACGCTTCGCGTCCCTCAATTTTCCTCTCCTCGCAGGCTCGCTCTCGGAGGTTCCGGGGACCTCGCTTTGCACGGGAGTCGCGGTGCAACATCTATTCACGCTAATTTAGACAGGATTATGCTAGAGATTCGCTGCTCTCGGTACCTGCGCGAGGAAGTGGAAAGTCTCCAATTCTTTCTATCCGGCGACAGACACGAACGCACAGCCTGGCCGTCCGCCTGCCTCTCGCAATTGCCTGCAGCCTCGCCACTTCCCGTGTGATGGGCGTTCTCGCGCCCAAGACGAGGGAGTACGGCAGGCCTCTCGCGCGCTTCTCGATCGCCGCAACGGCACGCCACGAGGCTCTCTTGACGCTGGCACGTCGCCGTCTCAGCGGCTCATCCTCTCCAGTGAGCAGCACGAGGGAGGCATTCGCCGCGGCCCCCTCCCCTCCTCCGCCCCGGGCCCTCTTCGCGCCCGACGTTCTGCCACCAGCACATCCTTCAAGGCCGCGTTTTGCAGGCATCGGCCGCATTTACGGTCAATTTAAATGTTAACCTTCCATTAGGCCGGCTTGCGGGGATAACGGGGACGCGCCGCCAGACCCCAAGTGCCATACTAACGGGGCCGCGGTCTGTCCCCCGTGGCACGAGGGCGCGGGGGACGGTGTCCTTCACAATGAGGGGCGAGGGGAGCCGAGGGGCCGCGGAAGAGGGAAAGCGGACGGAGGGCTTCGAGGGAGGGACGCCCGGATCAATTTCGATAATCGGATTTCGGATCGCGCCGAGCCGGATGGCGGCGACTGCGAGGATCAAGGGGAAGAGGGGATCGAAATACTATGGGCCTACGCGGCATTCACAGCCTCTTTCGCTTGCATTAGCAAACTATACATTATTGATGTATGTATGCTATGTATAGTGTGTGATGATATAAATGTAAAATATATACAATAGTATATATAAATATATATATATCTGTATATATAATGTGTAATATATATATTATGTAAAATATATATATGTATATATATAGTGGTATATTTTATATGTATAGATATATGTAATATAATAATATATGTATATAATATATAATATATATATATATATATATATATGTATATATATATGTATATATATATATATATATATATATATATATATATATATATATAGTACTATATATTATATATATTATAAATAGTGATATAATGTATACTGTATATTGAACTAGTATATGTAATGTATATATATATATATATGTATATGTATTTATATTTATATATGTTATATATATGTTGTAATATATTATTATTATGTATAGTGTGAACTTATTTATGTATTTTTATATATGTAATAATATCGATATGCTATATAATGTATTATTTATATATGTATATATGATAATAATATATAATATATATTTATCATATGATAAATAAATATATATATCTTAAATATATTGTTATATATATTATTTAATATATGGTTATAATATATATATTTAATTTATGGTACTATATATTAACATGAGTACTGATATTAATATCACTGAGTATTATAGTATATATTTTTATACTGGATATAGTAATAATATTCATATAATGTATATAAATATCTTATCTATGAATATATAAAATTTAAATTTATTTATAATTAATAAGATTTTGTAATTTTTTTAATTAAAAATAATTATTAATCGTTAGGGTTTTTTAAATTTAATAATCATAATGTTATATATGTAAATATATATATGATATAATATAGATAAGAAAATAACTTATATAATATGTAAAAAATTTAATTCATGTATATAATATAAGTAATATATATATATTAAATATCGATATATGTGTTAGTGATGAATGATAAGTATATATAGATATATATAATATAGTATAATAATATATATATGTGTATATATATCTCTATATACTATATGTATAATATATATAGTGTGTCATATATACATGGTGATAGTAAAATAAAGATAGCTGATATAATATGATAGTATAATCGTAATATGATATATGATATATATATTAATATGTTAATGTACATGTAGTGTGTGTGTGATAAATATATAAACACACACAAATAAAAAAGGATACAAGCATACACACACACAAAACAACTGAAATAGGTGTGAGATGTGTATGATAATAACGAGAACAGCAAACACGAATGTAATACACAATATTAACATGAAATAAATACATAGCAGTACCAAACATAGAAGTAACAAAAACATACATATACACAGACACAATACCATATACATATAATACAATAATATACACACAACACAAACATGAGAAGGTAAATACAGATACAATACAAAAAAAACAGATAAACGAGATAACGTAACAAAACAAAAAGACAACACAACACACAAATCACAGTGTTAAAAAGGGCGACAGTGTAACCGCCGTGCGCAATTTAGCAAACCACATTCATCACGCGTTCCAGAAGCACGAAAAAAGCAGCAACCAGCGTATGACACACACACTATAACATGGCAATGACACTTACTTCTTCTCTGAACCGCTTGACAATCTCTCCCTTCTTGCCGATGATACTGCCCACTTCCTGCAACAGAAAAGAAACCACGTGAATATTTCGCACCGGAGGATGACTGCTTCATGAGCGGGAGCCAGCGGCACCCGCGCGACGCCCCGGATTATGGTTATCTTCTCTCTGCCTCCCAGTCGCTGCTCTTCTCCCGTAACATTCCTCCTCGTTTTCATTCTTCTCTTCCTCCTCCTCTCCTCCTCCCCCCCGCTTGTACATGCTGGAGCACACATGCACGGCAAACACACTCGCCAAGTTTAAATATTTCAGAGAACATGAGAACTGAAACTTTTTGGATACCGCCCCCCCAACTACATCCAATCCATCCCACCGCTTCAGCTCCTCACCCTCTGCCCCTCCAACACAACCCGCGTGTTATCGATATTCTCTCTCTCTCTCTCTCTCTCTCTCTCTCTCTCTCTCTCTCTCTCTCTCTCTCTCTCTCTCTCTCTCTCATTCTTATTCTTCACCTGCCAAGTCCAGTGATATATTTTTTTAAATGTCGGTGCGTCCGTAAAAAAATGCGAACGATAAAATATGTAGACATGTAAATCCGATTTATTCCATTTATCTTCGCATTCTTCGCCGCAAAAGGTCAATGCCACTTCAAGCGGCGATATCAACAATGCGAATTCGGCTTCCACGCTGCAGACCGAGGCGGCGCGACTTCGAAATTTCCTTTAGCTTTTCTCTCTCTCTCCCTCCCCCTCCTTCCCCCCTGCTGTCACCATACCCCTTCACCCCCTCCCTCTCCCCGGCTCCTTCGTCCATCTCCCTCAGGTGATAAATCTACCGGCATCTCCCTCTTTAGAACAATCTCTTCCCTCCCATCCTCTTCCCCAAGGCTTCTTTTGGGGATTGGCTTTATGATCTGCCTCCCCCTGCCCCAGCCCCTCCTCCCCACTCGTCCTCTACCGGCCCCTGCCTTTGGGGTTAGGTCGGCCGGCTGTTTAGGTAATGAATAGGGATTTGTCATTCGTCAAGAACAGGAGGGATTGGAGGTTATGTACGAGGCCACGGCGAGAGGAAGAGGAGGAGGAGAAGCAAGAAGAGGAGGAAAATCCATTTGGAAACGCGAAAGCGAAGGTGTGCCGCCGGGCAGTGGGTGGGAAGAGGACTGAACGATGAGCGAGGCCGTTTACTTTGAATACGAATGGACGATTCGAGGAGAATTTTCCATCGTTGGAGCGACCGGAGCCGAGCCCCTAAACTGCCATGGGAGAGCCACAAGAAAGTCCGCTTTTCCTCGCAAATTCTCGCGAAATATGGCCACGACCCCGTCACACGCGTCTCCGAGGAACCGCGAGCTCATGAAGGGCTCTCGAGGCATGAGGAGGCGAAGGGCGGAGGGGAAGGGGAGGAGAAATTGCAAGGGAGAGGGAGTGAAGAGGCGAAGGAAAGAAAGAAGAGAGAAAGAGAGAGAGAGAAAGAGAGAGAGAGAGAGAGAGAGAGAGAGAGAGAGAGAGAGAGAGAGAAAGAGAGAGAGAGAGAGAGAGAGAGAGAGAGAGAGAGAGAGAGAGAGAGAGAGAGAGAGAGAGAGAGAGAGAAAGAGAAGAGAAAGAGAAAGAGAAGAGAGAGAAGAGAAAGAGAGAGAGAGAGAGAGAGAGAGAGAGAGAGAGAGAGAGAGAGAGAGAGAGAGAGGAGAAAGCAGGCTACGACGAGACGAGAAGCGAAAGTTAGAAAGAGAAGTACGAGAAAAGGAGGAGATGAAATCTTTGGAGCGAGGGTGAGACCGGAGCTTTGGGTTTCACTCGCAGGCACTCCAGCACGCGCCGGCTCCTCCTCCAGGCCGTGGAGGGCCACCCCGCCACCGCTTCCACGTCTCACGGCCACAAATGAGATGCAGATATATACATGTAACACATACCTCATGCTCGTACACGCACTCTTGACAACACACTCACTCTCAAGCGACACTCCTTTACGCTCGAATTCTCACTCTCGAAAGGCGCGCCGAGCATCAGTGTCGCTTAAAGAGTCGCGGTTCGAGCAAGAGCGCGCGCGCGTGCAGGCGCTTATAGGCCTATGCTTAGACTCAGGTGGTCCGCCTAAATCCTGCCTCGCCCCCCCCCCCAACACCCTCCCACCCACCCAACTCCCCTCCCGCTCTTCGACTAGATGATATCCCCGATACACAATCCGTCTTGCCGCAGCCGAGTAATCCTTCTCTCCCTCGCTTTATTGCTCTCCCGGGACACGGAACTCGATTTTATTCAATTTTTCTCCTTCCAATTCCCAGTGTAAAATGGGACGGAGTTGTCGCCAGGAGGACTAACAGCCGCGCGCAAGAAAAACAGCCAAAAGAAAGAGGGAAACAAGTCGGACAAAACATAGAACGAAAAATACCAATGGTACAAAAAGGGAAAGACGTGCGCGCGCGCAAAATTGTATCCGAATTATAATAAGAGGAATAAATAACAGACAAAATCAATCTTACAGAGGACTAACACCAGCCTGAGGGCGGGGGAGGTAATCGGGCGTGTCGAACACTAATTCCAGTATGAGACAAGAGGTGGAGAGGCGGCCTTCCACGCGGGACATATGACAAAGAGAGGAAAATAATGGTCAAGAGGCGTGTAGAAGAAAAGAGAGGAGGAGGAGGGGGAGAGGAAGGGGAGATGAAGGCGGCGTCAGCACCCCAGTTGTCCCTCCCCTGCCCACCCTCCCTCCCCTCTTCCTCCTAACCAGCCCTCTCAGATTCCCTCGCCTTCCTCCCGTTTCCTCCTTCCTGAGGGGGTGATAGGAGTAGGAGAAAGAGGGAAAGGAGGAGGAAGAGGAGGAGGAGCATTTCAATGGCCGCCCTCTTCTCCCCTGCCTCTCCAGCCTCCTGTCTCCCGGCACCGTCACCACGCCAGGATGGAGGCACCAGATAAAATCCTAATTTAAACTGTCACCGGTCGATATCCCAAACAATCGGGCCGTGTCTCTGGGCTTCGATCGCGACTGCGGCTTCCATTGATATGAATATCGATTAATTACATTCCCCATTAATGACGCCCAAGCGGGAGCGCCCGAGCCCGCCGAGCACACGCGCGCGGGACGGACATCTCTCCAATGTGAAGTCTAAAAATAAATCGAGAAATGAGGTGGAGAAGTAGACGCTCCCGGCGAAGGGGAAGGGAAGGGGGGGGGGGCGACGGGTAGCCATTGTCGTTGGCGTATCTCGCATTTCTGCCGCGCCGACCCAGCCCTCCAAGCCAGCCCTCGCCGCAACTACCGGCCGGCGCCTGCATACTTCACAAAAAGCTGTTCTAATTTTACCTTTCTGATTCTCATTTCCCTGGCGATTCGTGGGTGCTGCTATTGTTCTCGTCTGGTTCGTGTTTCCCCTTTCGAACTTGCGGGGACATAATCAAATCCGCATTGCATTGATTAAACCCGAATTCGCCTCTACAAACTAATAACGAAACCGTTTTTACCTTAATACACGATAATGATTCCGTAAGACCCACCTCCTCATAATTACTTTTCCGTCACCATGACATTTCTAGACATTCTCCCCCCCCCCCCTCCCCCTCTCTCTCTCTCTCTCTCTCTCTCTCTCTCTCTCTCTCTCTCTCTCTCTCTCTCTCTCTCTCTCTCTCTCTCTCTCTCTCTCGCACCACGACGTCAGGGCGACAACGATACCGTGACGTCATCCGCGGATACTTTCCTCTAACCATTACTTACAAACTTTGGGACATTCTTGACTTGCTATTAATGTTGGATGGGCCTCTCCCCTCCCCTCCCCTCCCCCTCGCTCCTTCCCTTGCGAATGGTGTAGGAAAGGGGAAGCGAGACAACCATTACCGAGAGAAAATGCGAGTTGAGACGGCAGGAAATGCGGAGAAATAGGGGAGACAGCGAACCGGGAAGAGGAAGGCGCAGAGGACTCCGAGTAGGTCAGGTTACCTGTCGGACGGGGTAGGCCTCGCACCAGTTGACCGGCAGTAACACAACCGCCCCTTAAATTAGTGCCGGCGAGTCTCACGAAGCCCCACAGGAGCCCTCGGTCCCCTGCGCGAAGCCCAAGGAAGGGAGCACGGAAGCCCCCCAAGCGTGGTAGACCCCTCACTCCTCAACCCTCCCTGGGGGGATGCACGGCTTCCTCCTGCTGCTGCTTCCACATACAAGGCTAAGCTGCATCGCTTTGTGTCTTGTGTTCCCAGGTTCTTTCCCTTATTTCTGGCTGGCGAGACCTGCCGGGGGGGGGGGGGGGGCGGCCGAGCGAGCAATACGTGAGGAACACCTGGTCTTCCAGGAGCTAAGGACCTCATCGCGTTCACAATCAGGACAGGTCAGGTCACGAATCTTTAGGAGGTCAGGTAAAGATGGTCAAAGGGCGGCACATGGGTCAAAAGGGAGGAAGAGGGAGGAGGAAGCCGTAGTGAGGTCAGGCTCCCCTCTCTCGCCCTCCTGCGGTGCCCTTACACTCGGAGGAAATGCCAACGCGAGGCCCGGTGCGCGTGTAGGGGCCGATCAGCTCGTTGCAAGTCGTCCTCAGCCGGGTAACTCGACGCGAAGGATATGCTTTCAGCCCGCGCTGCGCCCCTTCCCTTCTCACCGTGGGACTCGCAGCTAGCTATATTTACGCATCCCAGCGTCAGCTACATGAGCCTGTGTCCTTCCCTCGCCCCTCACTCCCCGAGGTTCTCATAAATCACTCTGAACGCACGTACTGCTGACTAACGCATACAATTCCAAGGTTTCCATTGAGCTTCCCTTTCTAAACGTGTCCCTGTCCCGCCAGCCGACTTTCTTTGAGCTCCTGTTGCCGACGCAGCGATCACGCAAGGCGCGGCGCTCATCGCGGCCGGAAGCCGGACCCTCCTGACGGCCATTTCACCCTCTCCTGCGGGATGTTTATGCAGGCCATGCGCCCGAGCACTCGGCAGAGGCCCGGCACATCGTCCGAATTCCGAGGACAGAGGCGGCGGAGCAACTTGGGGCGGCAGCTGGCGGAGGCGGAGTTGAAGAGCTTGGGCGCTCCAACAGCGACAACAGCGGTATCGGGACCAGAGGGGATTAAGTGCCAAAAA